TATCAACCTCAATGGGTTATTTAATGCCGACAACATTTTTAGGATAGATTCGTATGAATAGAATATGTATTCTTTGGTTTAGATTGGTTTGGTTTATTTTGTTTTACGGCATATCAACCTCAATGGGTTATTTAACGCCGACAACATTTTTAGGATAGATTCGTATGAATAGAATATGTATTCTTTTGTTTAGATTGGTTTGGTTCATTTTGTTTTACGGCATATCAACCTCAATGGGTTATTTAATGCTGACAAAATTTTTTATTGCTGGTACTATTTTGTTTTGTCAAAAATCTGTTTCTGGTAATATTTTTCCTTCAAAATTGTATTGCTGGTAATAATTTTTTTCAAAAAAAGTATTGCTGATAATAGTTAACTATTTGCCCATAGCTGAGATCTTAACAGGTGCTACCACCCCGGGTTAGGGTGGACCTGAGAACACCAGCAATTAAGAGGTGGTTCCACGCTCCTCAAAACCTCCTGATCAGAGGCCTTGCTGCTGGACGTAGTTTATCGTCTTACCCAGGACGCGGATGTAGTTTAACGTCTTATCCAGGACAGGAGGATAGCGGGAAATGTCAGATAACTACTGGAGCAGTACAGGCAACCGACCATTTCATGGATCGTATGTACGAATTCCACTTTAGGTCTGGGTTGAGTTTAAGTTCCAATAGGCGTTCAAGGCACATATCCTCCATGAGAAAGCCCTCGTTCATCGTGATGATGATGGAACGTTACTAGTTTGGTTTTCGAGACAATGAATGTGACCAGCCATTCCCCACTCCCCACTGAGATTTGGGAGTGGTTCGGTCAGAGGAGAGATCAGCTGCCAAGCTCTGGTCATCTTGGATTTTGGAGGTTCACCCATATACCGTTGTTTTACTGGCATAGACATTTACAAATGATCAGAGTATACTCCTAGGTAGATTTATTTATTGATCGCTTGGCCCTCAGAGGACTGACCTTTAACAATTACCTTCAGGGACCTACATGTTAGGAATGACTTTATAATTGAGACAACACTTCCAGTGATTCTATAACTAGAGAGTTTATGCAATAATCCTTTATGCCAGGCCTTATCAGATGCCTTTGAAATATCTAATGCAATCGTCCTTGAGATGCATTTGTTGCATAATGCCTTACTGATTTATGACATGTTATCAGCAGTGGACCGAGCCGATTTAAACCCGTACTGTTTGTCGTTCAAGGGGTTGTATCTATTGAGGTGATCAACAATCTTCTTGTTGATTATAGCTCCAAAAAGCTTGCTAACGACACTGAGGAGGTTCATACTGTGACGGAGATGAGCGCTCACCGATATTCTTGAAAACAGGTCATACACTTGACACTTTTCCACAGACTTGAGAAGGATTTCTCCTTCAAGCAGCGGTTAAATAATTTTGCTAAGATTGGAGATAACTTCTTAAGGATAACCACTGGTATATTATCTGGACCAATGACCTTTTCAGACGTTGAGACTTCCCGGACAAATATTACTGATGTATTCAGTGAGACTGTGGGGGGCACGGAATGGAGATGGTCTTTGTCATCTAACGTTGAGTTAGAGGCAATGGTTGTGGCGAAGGGTTTCACTTTATATGACTAGGATGAGATTACCTCGGGTCATTTGTAATAAGCACTGATGCTTTGCCTCAATTCAGAGTCGAATCGTTTGTGATATTAAGGAAGATATATTTCCTTCTTTCTATGTTCACTCTCTTCTTAAACATGGCACGTGGAACTAGAACAGTCTGCCCCAGTGAGCGAAATAAAGGGTTCAGTTCGACATTCAAACCACCTGATGAAGGCCAGAGCGTACAACGACCGAAACGTTGTAATAAATATGGCGACAAAGATGAGGACAATAGTCCGAATAATGTAAAAAAGAAATATATTTACACTATTTATATTCGGACTATATTGTCCTCATCTTTGTTGTTTTTATTTTCATTTTCCACCTTTTTTTTCTGAAAGATCAAGAGATACAAAAAGGGGGTAAAATGTGTAATTAATAAAAAAATATTAGGAGTATGAATGTAAAAAAATAGCTTTTTTTTCTTTTACGAGAGGGTCAGATAAAAATAAAATAGAATAAAAAATTTTAAAACCCCATAAAAAATTCTCTTTTTATTTTTCTTTGGAAATCACCAATTTTTATTTTTATATTTAAAGTGAAATAAACATGTGTGTGTGTGTGTGTGCGCGCGCGCTTTGCCAATCACGTAATTACACGCAAACGACAATGCGATTTTTCTTTTACTTCCCTTGTTTTTAGAGTTCATTGGGCAGACCTCACTTGTGGCTTCGTTACTGCTTTCCCGGTGGTGTCAGAGGTCGGTGTTCAAACCGAGGAAGACAAGTCCTTCCTCACGGAAGATTTGTAAAAAAAATCTTCAACTTCATAAACGCTTCTTCTTGCCTTTGTACTGTAGAAATCTTATGCTGTTCTTTTTTGTATAGTTTTCCTTGCTTTAAAAAAAAACTCGAGCTTTATCTGGCGTCAGATTACGTACCTGTTGAAATGCACCAACAAAGCATTTTCTTTTACAGCCATAAAAATAAAATAAAAAGGTCGGTGTTGTTGAATTTCGTAGGGGAAACAGGAAGGTGCTGTCAGAGGGCATTTTAAAATTGAAATAGAAGGAAAGAAAGGGGAAGAAAGCGAAACAAACGAGGCAAGTAGGTGAAAAAATGGAAAAGAAAGAAAGAAAGAAAGAAAGAAAGAAGGGCAGGTGAACGAAAGCAATAAACGTACAAAGAAAATGTTAAAAAATTTAAAAAGAAAAAAGCCGAAGCCAAAGAAAAATAGGCGTGAAAAAAAGTGAATTATTGTAAAAAAGGAAAAAGAAAGAAAGAAAAAAATTGGCAAAAGTGAAAACAAAAAAAGTAAGGGATAAAGAGATGTCGCAAAAGAAATAAAGAGAGGGAAAAAAACAAAATAAGAAAGAAAGACAGAAAGAAAGAAAGAAAGAAAGAAAAAAAAAGGAAAAAGAAACAAAGAAAGAGAAAAAATGAAGAAAGAGCGAGAGAAAGAAATAAATACAAAGAAAATTAAAAGCTTAAAAATAGGAAAAACACGAAGCGAAAGAAAAAAACAGATGTGAAAAGTGAATGAAAACAGATGTGAAAAATGAAAGAAAAAACAACAAAAGTGGAAATTTAAAAAAAAGTAGAGAGGGGATGAAACAAAAGAAGAAAGAAAAGTTTCTTTTTTTTTTCTGAAAGAAGGAAAAATTGAAACCAAAAAAAGAAAGAAAAGATCCAAGAAAAAAAAAGCAAAAGAAAGAAAGAAAAATTCTCTATCAAATGACTTAAGCAAAAATAAATAAATAAAAACGAGACCTAAATATACGAATAAATTAGAGACGATGTTAGCCCCCTACTCTCTCGCCACCCCCCCTACCGCTTCGCTAAATAAATTACTGCAACGAGAGAGTAGCCAGGCTGGAGGCGAGTATGGTCGAGATTGTGTGTGTATCAGGTGCGTAATCACCTAGCGACCAACACCAGGCGGCGCCATTAGACACCTGTTGAGGATTTGTTTGAAAATGGCGAAGAAGACGATGTGGGTCCGGCCAGTTTCATCTCTATCGCTTCCCCCGTCAAATGCTGCTCTGTTTTTGGCGAAAGCTACCGCGGATGGGAGACCTGATGCTAATCGCTACCCACGCGGACACTGCATTAATCGGAATAATTACCGGGAATTTTAATCGAGACCAATATTATTACTGTACACAACAAGGACTGCTTACCAACAACAGCACAAAAGAAAAAAAACAAAACAAAAAAAACGTAAACCGCGCACACACGCTACCCCTACATTCTCCAGGAAAAGAACTAAGGATTTAAATAGCATTTAAAACGGCTTTATTGAAGAAAGAAGTGGAAGGGAATCATTTTTTATGTGTAAATAAATAAAAGTATGACAGAAAACGTAAGTCTTCCTAGCGCAGGTGAAGGCAAGTATCCAGTGCACCAACAGGTAAGTGTGTCTATGAAGTTACCCATTTCTTTATTTCTTTTCTTTGTTGAAACCCTGGAAAATATGGATTTAAAAAGTAAAAAGTTGTAAGGTATAAGCAAGAAATAATATTATTCTTAAAATATTTGTCTACAAATAAGAAGACTAAGCGTTTTAATTTTTTCGTTTAACACAAATCAGCTTTAACAAAAGAAAAGGATGTCTTTACTGGATGAGCCCCATACTTGTTTAAAAACAAAACAAACAAACAAAAAATAAGTCATTTTCTTTTTAAGCATTAATTTGATTTCACAGTCTGAGATATATATATATATATATATATATATATACACAGTGTATAAACCGATTTCATGTATAGTGCGATCTCTGAATATTTTTTTGCATGAATTTTATTTTTTAACCCTTCCATAAAAAGATTTACCTGTGTATTGCGCGACTCCCAATTTTTATTTTTTTCGTAAAAGAAAAAAAAAACTGATCATAAAAAACCACACTATACTCGAGTATATCATTCAGTCATGTGCCATGCGTGATACACGCTTAGGCGATCATGTATCTTTCGATACATGACTGACGAGGCAGATTTTTTTTTTTTCCGCAGTTTGTTGCCATTTCTTTCTGCGGTAGTTATTTCTAACTGGGCTCAATCTGCAAGTTTGCATTGCTTTTATGAAAACTTTTTCACCATATCGTGCACATTTAGCTTCGTATATTTCTACCCCAGTGTCAATTTGTCGACGGGCTGCCATCTCACTCAACAACGAAATAATAAACGCTCTTTTTGGGTACTTAAAAAAAAGCTGTGGTAATCACAGGTCGGGACTTTTGTCGACCCGTCAACCCCTTTACTACGGACAATACGTTGCTCACCTCTAAGTATTCTTTTGTTATTTTCATGGCAAACGTTCAGGCGAGCTCCATTCCTTGCTTCCAGTAGACCAGACTTTCAGATAGGATCCACCATGCTACGTACACTGAGCCAATTCATCCTCATTCCCTTTTGATTCAATTAATGATTAGGAAGTTCTTCCCCAGAACTGTTGCAATGTGGGACGACAGACTCCTGAGAGGATGCTTCCATGATCACTACAATAACATCTTCAAGTTGGGGGGTCAACCATTATTTATCCTACTTATAAACGCCCTTACAACATCTTTATTTAGTAACTCTCTGTATTGAGTGGCTCTTAGCCCCTGTATAGGATGAATAATAGTAAAAACAAAACAGCATACACAAACGCGGTCCATTCTTGTTTTTAAGTAAACACAGGCGTGTGTTTATGCAATCAGAAAATGGGATTACATTCACTTATGTGTTAATACCCTTGGGAAAAGTATGAATCCTCTTCTTCTCCCCCCAGCTATGGTTAAATAGCAGGACAGACCGGGTTCTATAGCCTTGGATGGCAACTGGTAAACTGCAGAAAGAAATGGCAACCTACTGCGCAGAAAAATATCTGCCTCGTTAGTCATGCATCGAAAGCTACATGATCACCTAAGCGTGTATCACGCATGACACATAACTGACTGATTTGGCCATGTCATTTTGGCACATAACCGATGTCATGCATTTTAAAAAAAAATTCTGGACTGTATGTCAAACACGGAGACATTGTATTTTCTTTTCACTTGATATTTGTATATGACAGTATGAATGTAGCCAAAAATATAAACAATGAACCATTCACTTTAAGTACTAAGGCTATTATTTAATTTAACTGATTTAAGAGCAAGGCAATTGGCGTAGCATCGTTTTGTGTACTTAAAGTCTTAAATGATAGTCTTTAAAAATGATCTGAGGAAACAGCTTAACTTTTTACATAATAAATCACATGGAAAACGTAATACACATCACAAAACACATTAACATAACATTTATTATATAATGAATTAGAATTACTCGTTTTCTGTCCTTTTTTTTTTGTAATGATAAAATGACTGCTTCTTTTTATGTTGTAACTATGAACAATTAGTTTACGTACAACACCTACAAGGCCGATTAGTGACTACAGTCGCATAATGGTTAGAAAGCTCGTCTTGCAGACAGTCATTTGGCTGGTTTAAACAGTAAGATATAATGTGCTTTTTATTCTTGTGTAGCAGCCAGTTCCAAAGAAAGGAAACTTAGAATGCAAAACCGTGAAGAAGGCAATGGGAAACCACTCCTCTATCTTTCCCAAGAAGTCGTGGCAATTCATAAATAATAAAACGGAATCTTGGAGAATGACTCCTCCGTTTTCAGAATTGTGAAGAAGGCAAAGGAAACCATTTAATTATCTTTCCTAAGAAATCCTAGCAATTCACAGATAATAAAGAAAAATAAATTTGGAGAAGGCAACAAGAAATCACTCCAGTATATTTTCCAAGAAGCCATGACATTACATAACAAAGAAAAGGAATCTTGGAGGACTACTTTGATTTCAAAACTATGGGGAACCATTCCACTATCTTTACCAGGAAATTATGGCGTTTTCCAGATAATAAAAGAAAAAAGAACATTGGAAAAGGCTTAGATCATTTATATCCTGAAAGTAAATGGCATTAAAAAATAGTTCAATCATTACTGGGTATCCATCTAATTGTTTTATGTCCCTCCAAACTATAAGTAAATAATTATAGGCTGGGAAAGGTTTAGTGTGCGTACCTAGACGTTTACATCTTTATTAGTGCAGATCATAGAATAAAATTATTTATTTAAAAATGATAATTTTTGATCTATCATTCAATTTCTCTTTTTAGTTGCTTGACTAAGCTTTGCGTTTTGTGTAAGCTTTCGTCTAAATAAGGATCAATAAATCATTCGTACTTGAGTGGAACATCAATAAATCTACAGTTATCAGCCTCCCCCAACATCCGTAATAAAGACTGCTATTGATCATGCTCAAATATAGAAAAATATCATTACATTACTTATTAATCGATATTAAATAATCACTTTAATTTGGGCGTCGTCTGTGGCGCGATGCTTATTGTTTAAATATTTAGTAAGCTTTTCTTATATACAGTCTTAGCTAATGAACCGTGTTCTGTCCTCACTTGAGCCACCACATTAGTGAACTCGACTAAACTACGCTTAGTAGTTAAAAGACGATAACTGAGTTTGATTCGCACTGATTTTTCTAAAATATTGTAATCTTCCTAATTGCTTAACAACCTGTTTTTTTTTTTTTTTCGTCGTGCACTTGTTACATTGCTAGGCTCGTAAACCAAGCATTAGTGCATGGATTTGCACCAAGCTAAGTCCAGGAAGTAAATTAATACCTATAGTTATTTTCTTCTAAGGTACTAGGATTATTGACCTTTAACCTGGACGGTGTGGCGAATCTGTTTCAAAGTTTTGTGCCAGCGGCGTCTGATACTTGCATATTCTGGTATACGAGCGACCAATATTTACCACCAGACTAGGGAGTTGTTGTAGTCTCTATGAAAAGCGCGTGTTGAGGTTGGGGGTGGAAACGTCTAACCGATTGCTCTTCCAGCAATTACGGGGGTAATAGGCAGAGAGGGGAAAGAGACGGGAGGTAACAAAAATAATACTGCCTCGGACACCATAGCAACTTTAAGAACAAAAATGCTCCCGGGAGCGACTTCACAAGACACCGTCTGCTGGTTTTACCGTTGCTTTTATTGACATGAGGCATCTTACAAAAACCTGGATCTTGTCCAGTTGCAGAGAGGCCCGTATTTAGATATGTCAAGCTGTCTCACTGCTAACGGGAAAATACAAATTTTATTTTGGAATGATATCTACATAGTAAAACGTAATAACACAGTGGAAATGTAATTAATTAAAATATTAATTTTTTTTCTAGTATTCTAACGATAAACGGTACGTACATCGGTTAAAAATGCTAAATAACTTTTGTTGTTGTAGATCTCAATATAAAGCGTAGATCACATACCAAAGTAGATTCATGACGCGTAGATAACAAGACAAAATAGTACCGAAAATTTACTCTTCATATTTTAGAGTAAAATTCGTAAAACTTTGATCTTTTACAATAGTCAGTTGCAATTGGTTGTCTTTTATTGCAATGCGCGCAAGTAAAAGATGTGTTTTCGTTTCATGCCAAAATTTAGGGGTTCCATTTTTTTTTTTTTTTTTTTTTTTTAATTGGACCCATTCATTTTCAGGCATTGATTACATTTATGGCTTCTTGGCATAAAAATTCGAATTATCACAAAACAGCTTAGAAGTTATTATATACCTATCCATTCCGAGTAGTAAACTCACGTTGCTCGTAATTGCCAACGTTTCAGACGATACATTCACAATTTGGCTTCCACCAGGAAGATCTGCAACTACTACTGAGCTACAGGAAATTAAAAAGACTTTCCGTGCGGTTGAATATGAAAAACGAAGCGGCTTTTCTGGATGTACTAATGACTTGCATAGAGTATCGATTCAAAACACCCATATATGTAGCATTCAACGTGCAATAACTGAACAAATCCTATCATCCTTATCACGTCAACAACATTGCGACAAACTCCTAAGTGGCGACCCAGATACATATCAACAACATTAGAAATACCCTTTAAGTATCAGTTTTCGAGAACAAAAATAATAAATAAATCTGTTAGTCTGTTTACTATAAGGGGT